GTTGCTCTCTTGTGTGTGTGTGTGTGTGTGTGTGTGTGTGTGTGTGTGTGTGTGTGTGTGTGTGTGTGTGTGTGTGTGTGAGGCTGCCTATCTCAATACATCTCCGAGCCTCTTGTTTGAGATCCGACTGAAAGCAGAGGGCCGAGGGGTCGAGGGCCGCAGCTTTCTGAGCCTCCATTAGTGCATCATGCTTCTACATTTTACCGTTTCGATTGGCTCTCTCTCACTCATTCCTTTCTCGTGTGTTTTTCCACAGACAAAACCACATGCATCACAACCACAATTTTTCCCGAGGTAAGATCAATGCACCTCTGGCTCTCTCTCAGGTTGTAAAATGTTTAAACGGCACTACAGACAATAACGATATTTTTTTGAAGTATATCATGAACCCATTAAACGAGCGAACAACAGAAGAGGGCCGTGATCTAAATGGCACAGAATTGCTTTCCTTCCATTAGAGTTTGAAGTGCAGTTTAGTACTGAAACCATTTCAGTTACGGCCGTTTGGGAACCGTGACTATCACGCTAGATGAGGCTTCTACGGTGTGAAATGAACTTCTCATTTCTCTTGATATAACCTTCGCTGTTCGGCTAAAATATGCTATTTTCTGATATTGCTTTTCTACACTCTGTCTCTAACTCCTCCAACATCCATTTCTCTTTCTGTTCCTTTTATTTTGAAGGGGTACCAACCCATTTGCCACCATTAAGCTGAAGCCCACGTCAACCGATGACAGATCGGCCCCTCGTGTACTCCGACGATGACATCTTTACCCCAAACAAGCGGTTTCGAGGAGCTGAAGAGTTTATTTTTACCGTTAAAAGATAGCTAAGCATAAACGGTCGAAAGTGACTAAGTAAATCTTGAGGTGAGGCTGTTTATCATTTCATACCTTGCCCATAAAACACTTTGTTTGCTGAAGAAAGAGGGCAAACAACTTTGAAATGCCTCTAAAATTGTGAATAAATCATGTATTGACAATATTTTTAAGTGATTAGTCAGTTTTTCTGGGAAATCCTGTTTGATCCTTTCTAATTGGGATTAATACAGTTTGGAAAGTTGGTTATTTAAGCAATAGCTCACGACTTAGTTAGTTAGTTAGTTTCGTAACGGACGTAATGTAACAGTTGTAACGGTTGTAGCTTTTCTCAGACGCGGAGGGATACTAACTTGTTGTGAAAAGTAACTACAATTCTACCCGTGATATACGCTCATTATATCAAGGCTAAGAACCAATCAGATTGCTTGATTTGACTTGTCCGTTTCATAACTATTGATAAACACTCGTAGGTTTCTCACTTTTCTACACTAGAGCTCATACTGTATGGTCCAAAGTGAGTAAGTGGACCTTGAGTAGAGCCAGTTTTTCACTACTTTGCTATACAACAATGTTTGCTATAAAAAGAGGATACAAAGTATAAATAATGTATAATTATTGGGTTTGAGCTGTCGAGATACATGTATATTTTTAAATCTTGGTAAACCAACAAACTACATTGTGCTTTTTATGTTTTAATGGTTATATCCTTGTTGTTTTCAAAATGTGTTGGCTCTGGTTTTACTTACACTTTTGTAATAATTAGGGTCTGAACACGAACAACATCAGGTCGTAGAACCCTATTGGAATCACATTATTTGTTATCATTATAATTTACCAAATGGATTGCAAATTTGAGGGCATAAACATATGGAAATATATATTTATTTTTGGCAGAAAATTCAAACCTAGTGGAAATGTGTGTAGAATGTGGGTTTTCGTGAATGGTCGTGGCAAAATGGCTCAACAGCGCCACCATTATTATCAAATATCCTACATGTACTTCAGAAAGAATCTCTGTGATACAAATGTGTTCATGTAATATACATTAATATGTATAATACATCTTCTTATCATTTATTCCTTGGTGTGTTTGCACTGTAATTTCGGACAGGAGATGACATGTGCATGACTTTCATATCGAAAACAAATTATAAATATCTTGTGTAAAGTTGAGATGAGATAAATATCATTTATATCTAAAGGATTGATGCATGATGAATATTATTTTTATGTTTTTACTGCCATTATATTGCATTCCCACCCTTTTTCTCTACATGGTCCACCAAATGACATCCATTCATACATATTAATTGAAATGTTAATTTACTTTGTGAAATGAAAATGTAACCTCTGGCAGAAAATGAAATATATCTTGTAAGAAAAATAAATGTAGTCTGACCCTGAGATCTGATGAAAAATGCAATGCATTCATGGATAATGTAATACCATCTTTATAGCATCATTACTTTAACCAATGGGTTCTACTTTTTAAGCTGGTGGCAATTTTTTACAGACTGTAGTGATAATGTTGATCTATAATGTCATACAAATTTGACTTTATAATACAAATATTGGTATTAGTGGGAGGTCCTGATTATTTGATTTCAAATATTCTGTATTTTTCTAAAACATTACATTACAACTAAATAAAACAGTATACCAATTAAACACTTTTAGTTGTATTTCTTATGAAAGACCCTTCTGCTTGTGTGCGCTTCACTCACATATTCATTTTTTAAGTGAACGCCTCTAAGCTTCAAATGTGCTTATTTGCTCAGGCAGTAAAATGGCCTACTAAAGAAGATCAGGATTCCCTCGCTGCCTGTTGGGGTCCTCCGCTGGGGATACTTAACCCAAATTGAACCTCAGTGTGAATCCAATTCTGCTAATGGCCTGACAGCATGGCTCTGCTACACTGGCAAAGCACTCCTCAAGACTTGTTGGCGTGTGGAATAATGTGGCCTTCCTATTCTCTCTTATAATAAAAAATAAATATGTAAGATGGACTGTGGAGAGATGCTTGTTAGTCCATTGTCTTTCTCACAGCTAATGAATACTAATATATGACAATGAAGGCTAAGGTTGACCTTCTCTAAGGAGGTCATATGCTACATTTCAGAGAGAAACTCCCTCTGGAGGGAACACAAGGATTTTAGCCTTTGTAGACCATTTACATGCACACAAATCTATATAAAAGTACTCTATTACAAGTTAAAGAGCTGAACCCACAATCTTACTTAAGTATTGTTATGTGAAACAGACATTTTAATGATTATATATTAAATTACTGGATTATGATTTGTTTACTGCTGCTGATATTTTAACCAATATTTATACTGTAATGTTGATTTATATTTTTTATTGTGTAATAATCTGAATATGTTCGTTACTTAAGCTGTCAAATAAATCGATGGATAAGAGCGGTACAATATTGGCCTCCAAATTGTAGTGGAGAATTAGTTCAACGTAGCATTTAAAGGTGGGGTATGTAATTCACTTCAGAAACACTTTTTGTTATATTCCATGGAATGCTCTTAACATCCCAATAGCAATGAATATATTAAATGCTTTGACAATAAATACTTTAAAAAATGTCATCTGTAGAAGCCGTAGTACTGTAAAAAGCACGACCAATCATCTGAGCCGGCCCGGCTAAAGAAACTGGATAGCCTACCTGCCTGTCAGCCTTCCATCTGTGCACAAACTTATCTCGTGCCCTCATTAGGCGCGTTCACACCAAGTACTTTTCCCACAAAGGTTCCTGAGAACTCTTTAGTTCTCATGAACTAAGTACAGATCGCGTTCACACCGGAAATTAGTTCCTTGGGGTGGATTAGGCCAATGAAGCCGCTGACGTCACTTCTTCTTCTTCTGCTTTGGGTTTACTGGCAGGCCGCAAACAACTTCACGGCGTATACTGCCGCCCAAAATCCCCTGCCGGAAGTCCCCGGAGTTAGGGACTGGCTTCAGTAGAAGCTGCTGGGACTCCCAGCAGCTTCTACTGAAGCCTTCCGAGTAAACGGCCAGAACGCCGACACTTCCTCATCTCCACAGCTCCCATGTTTTATTTTGTGTTGTCATAAGTTAGTCTCTCTGCGTTTCTGCGCTGGGCTAATGCTAATAATGCAATGCGAGGATAATAAAATGGCGGCTTCACAAAAGCTTTTGGGAGTTTGACGGGGCGTGGTTTGCATTCCGCCCAGCCAATCAGACACAGGAACCTTTTTCTCCCACGAAAGTCCCTGCTCTCTAGCAGGGACTGAAAAGGGGGTAAAAAAGGTTCTCTAGAATTAATTTAGTTCCTGGGACTTTTTGTTGTGAACGCAACTAAATCGTAGTTCTCAGGAACCTTTGTGGGAAAAGTACTTGGTGTGAACGCGCCTATTGGTCATGTGCGCGTTCGTGTGTGTTGGAGGAGGGGCTCTGTAAGGAAGTGGTAGATTTTTTCCGGTTGTGTATTTTCAAATTCTAGCGATCTCAAGCTGGTTTCTCCATTCTTACCTACCTACCCTTAATACAGAAACTCAGTTAAAGTACCTCAACATTTTGCATGAATATGAAACTTGATGTACTTCCACCCCTGTGTAAACCCCTTTATACATTATAAGATCTCAAGATGTGCTTTAAGCTGCACGACAGAGGACAGGGAAGACGGAGAATCAGATAAGAGCATCACATCAAAGGAAGGGATTAACAGTGACTCAGCGTTTCTTGAGACTTTTTATTTTATTCTTTCACAGCTTGACCTCTTTCTTCTTTTGGTATGTTTTACAACAGCTCATTACCAGAGGAGAAAGGGACGGATAGATAGATAGATAGATGGGGGAAGAGAGGGGGAGCGGATGCAGGATCAGTGCCAGGAGAAATAACAGAATAAGGGAGAAAGAAAGAGGGTGAGGAAGGACATTGGGGTCTTTCTCTTATAATCTCTATTTTCTTTAAATATCTACTTTAAAATGCGAGGTTTATTTCTTGCAGGCGTGTTTGATATCTATACAGAAACAGAAACATTTTGTATAAAAAGGATAAAATAAATAGGATTAGTATAGCTGTGGGGAGGAGGTGTGTGTGAAGGGGGGGAAACCACAGTTAACTTCCGTCAGTGCAGTGTTGCATTTAGTGAAGACAGCAGTGGGGGAGAGGGTGAGGGGG